CCATTATTCATAACATAGTAGCATATTGGCCTATGCTTGGCCATTTCTTGTTCGACCTCCCACTTGGTCTCTTCAACTTCGACCAATTGGCCGTATTCTCTGGGCAGCACAGACACCACATTTACTATGATGTCTAATGTAGCATCAGACCCAGAATCAGATTCTTTTTTTGATTCATCTTATTCAGGTTGTACCAACTTTCTAGCAATTGGATTTTTCTCCAAAGGAATTCTTGGTTTAGCCTTTTCTTTTCTTCGCGTCATGTTAGTGCTTGTTTCTGGTTGGGGCTCTTCTATAGCTTCACTTTCATCCTTTCTTCGTCTCTGATACCTTCTCCATTGGGAGCAGGTCATAGGTTTCTTTCCTTTGTAATTGTCCGACACGTGAGAAACCTTGTTTGTTGTTGTTGACTGAAATTCCTTTCTGTGGGTCAAAGAGGATCCTCTTGGCATATCGAACGTTTGCCATTTTACCTTGTTGGGCCTTTTTCTATTCACTGTCTTCAACCAAGTGTCCACAGGGACATTCGTTGGAGGCTTGAAGGTTGATGGCCTATTTACCTGGTTTACTGGCCCCTTTTGGTATCCCCTTCTATGGTCGTACCTTACTTCAGGATCCATGTTAGGCTGGGCAATGTTGCCCCATTTTTTCTTTGTTACATGCACACCTTGTATGTGTTTAACAACTTTTTTGTCGAAGATAGAACTGCATCTTGGACACAACATAACTTCAGCCTTCTTTTTCTGGCATCTGTGTAGAAAATCTGCCAGATTTTCGTTTTCCTTAGGAAACGCGATCTTGTTGATTTCCTCTTGTCTGATGTTGTCTTCTGAAACTGTAGCTTTAGGTTCAGACACTTCAACCATATTTATTTCCACGTTGCTCTTACCAGCTACACTTAGCTTCTGCATCTTGGCCTCTAGGCTTTCTGTTGAACACGTGACAGCAGCCAAGTAGGAACCTTCAGTAGTTCCTTTATTTGAGCCTTCAATGGTTCCCTTGCTTAGGCTTTCAGAAGCCTTTCTTTATACCTCTTCAATAGCTTTTTAGCTAATGTCTTCAGTGAAACTGCCAAAAATAAGTTTGTTGATGAAGTCTTCTGAGACTTCAACGATATTGATGCATGAAGGTTCAGCATTATGGGCATCTTCCTGCAACGGGTTTGCATCAATCTTCATGGGAGGTTTGTTAGCAAACTTGAGTCCGCCGTCTTTTATTATGCCTTGAACGAGATCCCTGAAAATAAAACATTATGAGGTTTTATGGCCCCAAAAATTATGATATTTACAAAAACCTCTCTTTTTTCCTTTGATCTAAAGGAGGCATTTTTGCCCCTGGGGGCACTATCATCTGGCCATCTTTAACTAACAAGTCAAATATTTCGTCACATTTTGTGACATCGAAACTATATGTTTTCTTTAGGAACCTATCACTACTCCTTTCAGGTTCAGTAGGATTCTTCCCATTTGAGGGTGTTAATAGTTTGCAAGAGTATGGTGGTCCTTGCTTTAATTCTGCTAGATCGACCTCGCTTTCTTCGACAGTTATAGGGTCACTAGATGTCTATGGATCATCATCATCCACTTCGACATATGCTACCATTTCTCTTTGATGATTTTTGTTCGCCTTAGTTTTATCATCCTTAAGGCGTTTTACCTGTCGAACTCTATCGGCCAATTGGGCCATATCTCTCAGGTATTGGGTATCTAATTTCTTCCTAATGGAATAATCTAGACCCCCAGTAGCCATTTCGACCAACTCATGTTCAGGCACTTGTGTAAAGCATCTGGTTTTGAGTTGTCAAAATCTGTTCAGATACTCATCAATTGCCTCATTGAATCTCCTCTTCACACTAGCCAGTTCTTTCAGACTTATTTTGGTATGTCCCATATAGAATTGTTCATGGAACAATATTTTCAATTGATTCCAATTGTAAATCGAATTGGTTGGGAGTGTGGTAAACCAAGTGAAGGCATTTTTTATTAAGGAGCTTGGAAAAATACTTAATCCTAAGATTCTCATTATTTAAGATTTCCCCAGCCTCTATTAAATACCTTGTCACATGTTCGACAGTGGACTCTGTCGTATCCCCTGAAAACTTGGTGACCTTTGGAACTTTCCACCTAGGGGGTAAATTTGATTGCAAGATATAATCTGACAACGGAGATGTAAAGTTTGGCCTATGAAAACCAATGTTCACTCCATTATGTGCCATGATTCTTTCGACCATGGTTGTCAAGTTATTATCTGCTGCATTGTTGTGGTGTTGAACCTGTTGTATTACTTCATCAGCATTTTGGTTTCTATTTACCATAACTACACCTTGTTCGATAGCTCTTGGGATTTGTGGGGTAACTCTGGGTACTTCGACCCTAGGTTGTTTGACCTCCACTCTATGGTTCATCCAATTTGGCTGTGGATTCTGGTTAATGGTCATGTCATCCTCTAATACCACATATTGATTTCCTCTTATCAGCTCTCTTTGGGGGTGTCGAATACGTTGAGGAACCCCAAAAAATTCGGCCATGCGCGTCATTTGTGCTTCCATTTGCTGATTCGACTGAGTGGTATTTTGTATTAGAGGGTTAAGCATTGTACTCAAGGTTTGCACCAACATCTGCACTATGTCATGGTTACTCTCATCCATTTGTTGCCTCAAAATTATTGTAGAAGCATTTGTGAGGCTTGGCATTATATGGGATGTTCCTCCTAAGAGTTGGTTTCTACCCTGATTTTCCATACCAGTTCCAGATCCCTGCAATGGCGAAGATGCACTTACCAAAGGTTCTGAAAATGTGGATGAGACATTTATAAGGCTTGCCATCTCAGCAGTTGGCATGCCATAGGGTTGGTCCTGATCCATCCAGGCTGTCGAAAATCCTGGAGGGACATAAGGTTGAACTCCTGGATTTCCCCTTGGTGGGGGTGTTCCTGGTTGATCCCTAGGACCTATATAAGAAAGTATTGGTCCTGTTTGTGTAACCACCAATGCTGGTGTCGAACCAACCGTTGATGGCACAGGTTCACTAACTATTGGTATAATCGTGGTTCCATTACCGGGAATTGTTGGAGGCATTTCTCCACTACTTGGCTGATTAGTCATTCTCATATATCTTCTCCTAAGTATGTACTCTTTGGTGGTTGATTTACCACTTCTCCATAACATACAACACTCTTGAGAGAAAGGAAATTACGTAAAGCGTTTATGATAAAAAAAATTGTTTTTATCAAAGTTTATAAAAAAAACAAAAACTTAGCAACGTCCCACTGGGCGTGTCAATTTGTTTACCGTGAAAATTGGTAAATAACCGTTGATATTCCAAAAAGGGTTATTTTGGTTACTTGTAGGATCGATCAGTTTGATCCTATGACATATGCTAAGTGTTTGTGGGGTTTGATAAGAAGTCTTAACACTGTCAATAAACAAATTCGACTGGACATTAAGAGTAAAGGCATGATAAAGGTAAAAACTTGGTAAAAATGCAAGTAAAGTGCAGGATAAAGTAAATTTGCAGTTATTTAAAAGGGATGTAATGGTAAAGTTTGCAGAAAAGTGTTAAATGGCAAGAATTGTAAAGAAATGTACAGACTTTGATTGTAATAAAATATGGTGATTCAAACGTACATTCTCAATATTCTTTCTCTCACAGCGGATACTTGAATAAAATTGAGTGACTTGTACAATGAGTTGAACACACAAAATTCTGCATAAAATTCTTATATTTATACTAGTAATAAGTAATTGTCGAACGGTTGCTTCGTTCCAGGATGAGTACAAGTGTCCTCTACATACTCTTCGACCCCTATCTTCACGCCACGTTGCTTTTCCCAACTGCCAAATGAACTGCCTTTCCCTCCTTTCTTCAGATTCAAATCCACTAGCAGCTGATACAAGAGCTTTCCGGTCGAAAACTGTCTTTAACTTAGAAAATTCTCTAAGTGTTTTTCCTTCTTAGCAAGGATGACTTCGACACAACTCCTTTCACAGGCTCTTCTGTCGAAGTGTATTCAGCTTAGATTTCTTCAATCTATTTTTAGCCAATAAGGCCAATATCTGTGAGTGTCGAATTTAGGAGCTAATACATTGTCGATGTATCAAAGCTTAAAACCCGAGATGTCTAATTTTTTCGCATTTTTACTCGTCTACTTAGTTTCATGTTATAAAATGAAACTAATCTAAAGAACTAACTTCTTTACCCACACTCGTTCACAAAATTGAAAAGTTTTACTTTTTTTCATTGCATTCACGCGGTGATATTGCGGTCCAATCTCTTTTGACATTGTACTCGAGATATACAATATATTGCTTCCTAACAACAACTTAACATTCACATTATTAAATAAATAATATATATTATAAAAATTCGACAAAATTTTATATTAATTGTCAACTGCATAACGCAATTATCTCTTTAATTCGGCGTCTATACATAGCAATGAATTAATTCTGCCCAAAGAAAAACAATGTTATGCGGTTAGAAAATGAATTAAAAGTTGGACTCGATTCAAATAAACCAAAATATGTTACTGTTTACAATTTACTAAGTAAAGCAACAAATGAATAATTGTTTACAATAACCAAATGAGTAATTGTTTACGCACTGTTAAAGCATCATGGTTCTTCTAGCACGATATATGCATAATAATCTAAAACAATAAATAATTGGATAAATACCATTCTGTTGTAGTCTAGTTGGTCAGGATACTCGGCTCTCACCCGAGAGACCCGGTTTCAAGTCCCGGCAACGGAAATTTTGTTCATTTTCATCATTTATCACAATCTTTTACTGTTAATTGATACTGCAAAGCGTTGATGAAATTGCATTTCTTTTTTTCTCAACAGAGTATGTTGGAATAGACAACGGAATACATATTTTTGACTGATAGTTAATATAAACAGCAAAGGTAGATTATATGTACAAAATGATAGAGAAATACAAAATCCAAATGCACATAGTGATGAGCTCTCCAGCAAAACAAGCATCATAAATCACACTAGTTCATGGTTGAGATGACCCGATTGAGTGCTCGTTGCCTGCAAAACTAGGGTTTCCATTTGCCAACCGATTCACGCTACTGCCTCGTGAATACCGGTTCTGTGAACCTGACCCGGAGCTGCTCCTTGTCACCTTCAAACGAGCCTTCCTACCCTGTGTTGGTTGGGGCATTAGCATAGTCATTAGTATACACCAATTTACACAGACATCCAACAAAGGGGTGTAACAGTTAAATGCAATTACGTACATATTATTAAGAAAATGATCACCATATTCAATTCAAAAGTTAAGAGAATAGAATAACCTTCCCCATGCACTTTTCTAAATGAGAATACAATAACCAAATGAGTAATTGTTTACGCACTGTTAAAGCATCATGGTTCTTCTAGCACGATATATGGATAATAATCAAGATCAATAAATAATTGGTTAAACACCATTCCGTTGTAGTCTAGTTGGTCAGGATACTCGGCTCTCACCCGAGAGACCCGGGTTCAAGTCCCGGCAACGGAAATTTTTGTTTCATTTATCACATTCTTTTATTGGTACTGCAAAGCCTTGATGAAATTGTATTTCTTTTTCTCTCAACAGAGTATGTTGGAATAGGCATATTTTTGACAAAAGTTATATAAATTAAATGGTTCTACATAGCAATCATGAATATTGCAATTGAAAGTTATATAAATTATATGGTTCTACAAACGATCAAGAATATTGCACTTTTCCCCCATAAACTGGGTATGTTGGCATAGGGTATGTTGACATTTTTTATTTGAAATGTGTGGGTTAAGTTTATTAGGAATAATTTTTTACCTTTTTTATTTTATTTTTAATATAAATAAGTTAATTTAATAATTTAATGATTAATTATTATTGAGATGATGATTTTTCAAATTCATAATTTTAAGAAATAAATAAATAAGTTAGTCACATAAAATAAATAAAATAAAAAATAAATTCTTAAATTATGAGAATAAAGGATTTTAGCTAATAATAAATAAAAAATAATAAATTAATTAATTAATATTGATAATGACTAAATTAACTTTAGTTTTGATTTCAAATTTTTTTTAAAAAAATTTAACAACTTTAATTAATAAGATAAAATTTTCATAAAAATGCAAGATTTCCATCCTATAATATAAAAATAAAAAATGATAAAATTATGAATAAAAAAATTCTTAAATATAATTTAGTTAAATTTAAAACAAACATTGAAATGCAAACTATTTCAACCTATATAAAAATAAGTTTTCAATCTACAAAACAAACGGCAATAGCATTTAAAAAAAAAAAAGAAATCGAGAACAACGAAAATGATAAGGGTGGCAGCAGTAGCAGCACTAACACATACGACCTGAGCAACCTTCTCACTCTCCGCTCTGCCACTCTCTCCCCGCATTCTACCGTTACCATCAATACAACGACGTTTCATCTTTCTCATCACCACTTCTGCAAAACCTATATTTCACTTTTCTCCTAAAACGACACCGTCGTGTTGACACACCTACTCTTCAACGGCAGTCCGAGATTTAATGACTCCCCAGCATTTGTCAAGGATTTATTTTCCCAGACAAAAAATACATTCATTAACATTTCACATTTCATACATCCTGGTTACATACATGACAAGTGCATACGACACAATCTCATTTATTTTGAGAACATCATTGCATCATGCATTTCATACATCATGACATTGCATACAACTAACATTTTACCTTTTCAGGAAAAGGTCAATCAACAGATGGCTACCATCAACCATTTTCAAGTTCCAGATTAATACCTGTAACAAGCCAGGAAAACTATCTTTCTTTCTGAGGTTAGAGATTAATACCTGGAACAAGCCAGGGAAATTATCTACACGACCAGCTGAAGCAATCCTACACGGGCTCATTCCCATACACTCTTCTAGAAACAATTCAGATGCAATCCAGATATGGCTGACATTCTGATACTTACTCCAGATTATCTTCTAGAAACAGTGCAGATGCGATCCAGATATGGCTGACATTCTGATACTTACTCTAGATTCCTTCTAGAAACAGTTCAGATGCGATCCAGATATGGCTGACATTCTGTTACTTACTCCATATTCCTTCTAGAAACAGTTCAGATGCGATTTAGATATGGCTGATATTCTGATACTTACTCCAGATTCTCTTCTAGAAACAGTTCAGATGCGATCCAGATATGGCTGACATTCTGATACTTACTCCAGATTCATTCAAATACAATCCAGATACGATCCAGATTCGGATGTCATTCTGTCACTCATACAAATACAGTCCAGATACCATCCAGATTCGGATGTCATTTTGTCACTCATTCAAATACAGTCCAGATACGATCCAGATTCGGATGTCATTTTGTCACTCATTCAAATACAGTCCAGATATGATCCATATTCGAATGTCATTCTGTCACTCATTCAAATACAATCCATATACGATCTAGATTCGGATGTCATTCTGCCACTCATTCAAATACAGTCCAGATATGATCCATATTCGGATATCATTTTGTCACTCATTCAAATACAGTCCAGATACGATCCATATTCGGATGTCATTCTGTCACTCATTCAAATACAGTCCAGATACGATCCAGATTCAGATATCATTATGTTACTCATTCAAATACAGTCCAGATACGATCCAGATTCGGATGTCATTCTGTCACTCATTCAAATACAGTCTATATACGATCCAGATTCGGATGTCATTTTGTCACTCATTCAAATACAGTCCAGATACGATCCATATTCGGATGTAATTTTGTCACTCGTTCAGCATACCTTTCAAATTCAGTCCAGATATGATCCAGATTCGGATGTCATTCTGACGCTCATTCAGTACATCCATTAGATACGAGTCAGATACAATTCATTTATGAATATTATTATGATACTCATCTAAGACCTCTGCTGGTTCAGCTTAAATCTCTCAATGATTTATCCTGATTCTTTCTAGTAGACATTTCCTCTGGTTCAGATAGATCGCTCCAAGATTTATTTTGATTCTTCTCCAATTGAAGTCAGAATTTAGACTTAGTCTAATTTCTGTCAACAATCACCTTTAGATGGCAGCTATAAGCCCATCTCCAACAACTCTCCTGTAAAATCAAGCTTCACAAATAAGCTTTTGTTTTGATGAAGACAAACCATGGCTAACAAAGAAGGCAAAGATTTATGATCAAGCATCTAAGCATTCAAGGATAATATCTTCATTCAAAGCTCTCAACAACTTTAAAGGTATAATAATATTATCTACTTTGATCTTAAGATATAGATGCTCAAAAATGAAAAAGAAATGTTTAAGAATCATTACTCAAGCTTTTCAAAGATAAAATTTCATTTTTCTTCTGCATGCAATCGATTTACATCTTAGTGCAATCGATTGCACACTTCAAAATTTCAGATCTTTTGCTTCTGTTTCTATGTGCAATCGATTTACATTACCTATGCAAACGATTGCATACTTAAAATTTTCAAAATGTTTGCTTTTGTTTCTCATGCAATCGATTTACATTGCAAGTGCAATCGATTGCACTCAGTTACTTTTTGCTACTGATTTTGCATGCAATCGATTACATTGTTAGTGAAATTGATTGCACTCTTAAAGATTTTGAAAAAATAGCTGTTAAAAACCTTGTGCAATCGATTTACACCAAGGGTGCAATCGATTGCATACTGCACGAATTTGAAAAATAACAGCTTTGTTCATGCCTTTTCATTACATCTTTTCACTCAAACTTGGCATTTGTTCATGATACATTTCCAGATCTTCATAATGTTTCAAAAGGGTGTTATGAACATATAAATATTCAATTTCAAATCCAGATCTAACACCTTCTTTCAAAAAATATTTCCTGAAATTTAAAAATAAAAACTCAAGCATTCTTCACTTTTATGCATAAGTTTTCTGCACATTTTCATACATTAACAAACAGAAAACTTTGAGAAAATATATCTTGAGTCTTTGTACAATATTATTATTGCAAGAAGAAGATTATACATTGTCAAATCATTCTAAGTGATCAATATTACTCTACTCGCTCAAACTCACAAATTGATATTTACTTACTTATTTTCCAGGATTGTTGGAATTAAGTTTAAGTGTTTTTGTTGAAATCTTGTCTTTCCAAGTTGTTGGATATAAGTGTATTTACATTGAGAGGATTGTTCTCATAGGTAACTTAGTGAAAATCCAAGAGGATTTTTCTTGGTTTGGTTGGTAGTTCTTGTTTAAGTTTGCCACAATAAGGAAATCTATTTCATGTTGAAAGGGGACTGGAGTACTCTCGGACTGTGAGGGGAACAAGGATATATCGCCCATGTCTCTTTATTTTTCTGCATTTTTAAGCTTTCCTAAACTCACTTATAACCAGAAAAATAAGAACCATCATCACTAAAAACCAGAATTTTTAAAGTACCTAATTCACCCCTCCCCTCCCCCCCCCCCCCCCCCCCCCCCCCCCGCCTCTTAGGCGCACTTCGTACTTACAATTGGTATCAAAGCAGGTTATAGGTAACATGCTCCTAAAAGATCCAGAATGGCTTCCGCAAATCATAATCCCGTTTTCAGAGATGGTGGTAGTAACAACAAGCCTCCTCTATTTTGTGGTGAATATTTTGACTTCTGGAAAATACGCATGAAGGCGCATCTAGAAGCACAAGGAGAAGAAATATGGGATGCCATCGAAAATAGTCCATTTATCCCTATAACGGTAATCAATGGTGTCGGCTCATCAAAGCCTAAATCTTCATGGGACGATGATGATAAGAAGAAAGTTCTCTATGACAAAAAGGCAATAAACCTTCTTCAAGGTGCACTTAGCATGGACGAATTTTTCCGTGTCTCAGCATGCAAAACAGCAAAAGAAATATGGGATACCTTGGTACAAACTCATGAAGGAACGGTTGAAGTAAAAAGATCAAGACTAAATACCCTAAGTCAAGAATACAAATTATTTCGAATGCAGCCCGGAGAAACCATTCTTGACTTACAAAAGAGATTTGTGCACTTGACAAATCATCTAAGTGCTCTTGGTAAAACTTTGACGAATGATGAATTGAATCTGAAAGTACTTAGGTCCTTAACTAGGGAATGGCAACCAAAGGTAACGGTAATATCAGAAAAGAAAAGTCTATCCAACATGACATCCGCAACATTATTTGGAAAACTTCAAGAATACGAAACGGAACTCAGAAGACTCGAAAAGCATGAAAATCAAGAGAAGAAATCCAAGAATATTGCTTTGAAGATAGACTCCAAGGAAGTTGAAAAGGAAAACAATCCATAAGAATATGAAAACTTCATGCTTCTTGTTAAAAGGCTTGGTAAGTTCTTCGGTAGAAATGACAAACCTTTTTCTCATTCAAAAGGAAAGAAACATTTTCAGAAAAAGGAAGGCTCCACATCAACACAAGAAATCACATGTTATGAATGTGGTAAGCAAGGTCATATCAAGTCGGATTGTCCAAAACTCTCCAAGAAAGGTGGCTTCAAAAGCAAGAAGGGATTCAAGAACAAAAAGGCTTATGTCGCATGGTAGGACATGAAATAATTTCCTCATCCGATTTCGATAGTGATAAAAGTGCAAATCTAGCATTGATGGCCTCACACCATTCCAATGATGAAGACAATGAGGTTAGTAATGAATTTTCTCTTTTTGATAGTGATGCACAAGGTGCTATAGATGAACTATTGAATGAATTCAAAATTCTGTATAAAACTATTTCATCATAAAAGAAACAAATTTCATCCTTAGAAGAAAAATATGTTTCAATGGAAAAAGATTTCAAAGAAGAAAAACAAAAATCAAGTGATGAACAAAAACAGAATTTTGTATGCAAAAATTGTGATTCAATATCTTTCCAAATTGTCCAATTAAAAAGAGTCATTGAAAGATATGAAAAAGGGCAAATTGGATTGGAAGGTGTTCTTAGCCAACAAAGATACTCCAATGATAAAAGTGGACTTGGATATTCAAAGTTTTCAACACCAAGTTCTAACAAAACTATCTTTGTTAAGGCAAGTGATCAATCTTCCAAAGAGAAAGTGAACAAACCTAAAATAGTTCGTCACTATCCGAAAAAGAAAACATTTTCTAAGAAGAAATCTTATCCTTCTAGATATAGAAGTAACTTTGAACCTACTTGTCTTTATTGTGGTATTAAAGGTCATACACCTAATGCTTGCTATGTTAGAAACTCCAGTGTGGCAAGTGGGCATTATGTATGGGTAAAGAAATGCACTAATTATGAAGGACCCAAAGCAACTTGGGTACCTAACAAAACCTTTTTTTTTTGCAGGTATGCTTGAAGACCACATGCAATCTTTGGTATCTTGATAGTGGTTGTTCAAAGCATATGACAGGACATAAACCAATTTTCACATCTAGCGCTAAAGGCCAAGGGTTTTGTCACTTATGGAGACAATA